AGCGCGGCCACGGCCGGCCCTTGCCGGCCGTCCAGCAACAACTCATGAACAATCTGACTTTAAATAGCACAACATGAACATAAGAATTGATTTAAACTGAAAACATGAATTTTTGCCCAATGAACGGAATTTGGCCGCGGCGGACACACCGTGCGCCGCCGACGGCGTTAAGCCGTTTTCACGACCGAACCTCATTTCCCCTCGGCAAATCATACATAACTGAACATGATCAATGAGTACTGAATAAAATAACATGGTATACTCGAAGGATATTAACTTAACATGCTCAACGCACCTGCACGGCCCGTGGTGCGCTATATGCGCGACCACGTTCCCTTGGCCGAACACCGGAAAAATATGAATAATCCTTCGAACACTTAAGCTTATCTGAACATGATATTACTTAAAATAACTAAACGGGCGAAGGTTGTTCGGAGATTTCAACTTTAAACATGACATGACTCGACACGGCTTCTCACACGGCCTTAACGACATATGACACGCATGTAAGCCTGAACTGAAAACTGAACTCAATAAACATGATAATCTCAGCCTACAACCACAGGGAATTTACCTCCGATTATGCTCAACTGACGGCAATACTTCGTACTCCCGTGTTCGTGTGGCTCTCCGCGTGCGTGGCGTCGCCGTGCGGTGCGAGCGATAGCTTGCAGTGCGTGTCTGCTAGGCCTGCGATGCGGCATGTGATACTCTCGGTGTTCGCGTGTGCTGCTAGCTTGCGGACAACACTCAGAACTCCTCCCTAAACTCACTCAACTCTCGGAATTTAGAACCTTAGGTGATGAAATGGAGCAAAAATTTCCAAACTCCACCTTTATATGCTAAGTGGCCGAAGAGGTGAGTGTTTGGAGGTTTAATCTCCTTAAGACACTTGGAGCAAGCTTAAGCAACACTTAGGTGACTAAGCACCTTATTAGCTTAGATAATGCCACGTCTAAATGCTTACTAATGAAGAAAAAGTTTCCCAACTTTAGAGAAATTTGGTACGGCATTATGAACAATTAAACATAAAAACCGTACGGCTTAGGACTAAATTATGTGATTAATTACAAATTAATCACTTAATTATGTTTAATTAATTAAATTAAACATAAGGCTTAATTACCCAAATTATTCCGAACGTAAGCGGAACGTCGAAAATAATTTTCGGTAATCTCGACTGAAATGACTGAAAATAATTAATTTCGAAAATAATTCCAGCAAATATTTTAATTTCGGAACTAAAAACATGATTTATACTGATAAACTGACGGGATATTACAATCTTCCCTCCTTACAAAATTTCCGTCCTCGGAAATTCAAAACATAACTGATATATACATGAACTATGTACATAGGATAAGAAAATATGTACATCAGAACTGAAAATCTGGAAAACGAGCGCGAATATCGGACTCCGCCTCCCAAGTAGCTCCGTGGTGATACCACTGAATACGCACGAGGGGAACATCTCGCTTCTAGAGCCGACGGACCTGACGGTCTAGTACAGCTACCGGTCGTTCCTCGTACGAAAGATCTGGCTGAATCTGAATATCTGAATGGGGA